TATATATATATACACGTATATATATGTATGTATATGTATGTATATATATATATGTGCATAGAGTTTTTTATACATACATACATATCCAAACCTTATACTGACAGGAGAAGCAACTTCCGGTATTTACTGGATCCTACATACAAAACTGGAAACCAACGAAGGAACGACAATGGATGCGATCGGTAGAGGTATTGTAGGGGCCTTGATAATTGGAGAAGAGGTTTTTGGGGTATATTACCCTAATATAGTATAGGCAATTATTACGGCTTCTAGCCTCAAATTATTGTGAGCCGGTTTGTGCCTTAGGCTTCCGGGCTCAGGACCTCGGCCCAAGGGGCAAGTGGCCTTTTCGAAACCCCTGACCTCGCGGAGTCCTACTAAGGGTTGCAGGGGTTTAGGGGTTGGGGGTTAGAGGCTTTAGGATTAATAGGCCCTGGTAAAGTATACAGGTTTGAGTTTGGCACATCTTAGGGAGTCAGAAGCAAGACCCTAAACCTTTTCCCCTTTTAGCGAAAAGGGGGACCCTATCACATAACCTTACAGTACCCTTTAAGGGGGACCCCACTAGCCTTGTAGGACAAGGGGGGACCCTGTCATTCTAGAACCGTCTAGTACCCTTTAAGGGGGGCCCTGTCATTATAGAACCCCCTCCAGTACCATTTAAGGGGGACCCTATCATTATAGAACCCTGTGGTACTCACTAAGGGTTTGGAGTTCTTGAGCATACCCTGCAGCAAAGCACCCTCCCTTGTTGCAGATACTACACTTCAGAGCGACATCGTGCTGCGCTCGATCATCCGCAGCCGCTGAAGAAGCGCTGGGGCCTTGGCATTTCGCAATGTAGAATAGGGGGGTTGAGGGCTAATGTTCAGTTCCTCATATAAGGGCTCACAATATCGGGTTTCTTCGTTATGATTTGCGCCAGCATATATTGGGTCTTCCATTGAATTCTGAGTATTGGAGCCAAGTGGGCTTTTCTCGCAAGAAAGTATGTTTAAAGTGNNTCGCCTACCAGATCCGAACCACAAGGGAACCTAGATTTCTGGCCACTTGGGGGGGGGACAGGTATATTGAACTGCCACCATGTGCTAAAGGGTTTCGGGTCTGCACATGGGTGTTTCTTAACCAGCTTCCTACATCAATCTGATTCTACAGCGGATGTATGCAGCAGTTCAGCTTGCGGCTCACAGCGTGGTAGAGTCTATGCACGGTGCTTCACGTTTCTGCGCTTGTTTTTTTGGATGAGCAGGTTTCGATGAGTAACAAAAGCTGAGCAGATGCGATCAGATCTGGCGTCTAGGGCATAAGCCGACAGGCTCACGAGTTGTTCTGCTTCTTTAGGTTCTTTTGTCCGTAATTTCATGTGCCGCAGAGCGCCATATCGAGCCCACGAGAGAGTGAACCTAATCGTTGAGAGTTGGGGGTTGTAGGGTTGCAGGGTTTGGGGTTCGGGGTTATAGTTCTTATCAGGAATTAAGCTGTTGGGGTTTACTCTCGGCGCTTTAGGAATGAGATATTGGGTTTAGGCTGGAAAAATACCATATAGGGCCGATTAACGCGAATAGCCTACCACCTTCAGTTAACCCTGCATACCCCATGCCCGAATACCTACGTAGAAGGCACTTTTATTCAGAAAGTTGGATAGCTTCATAATCACGATGTTTCTCTCATCCCTGAATCCAAGTGTTGTTGTTCAACCTCATGGTTATATGTTGAAAACCAGGGAACCAATACCCAGTTCAATAGTCAATTTGCCAAGAAACAAGTTTGTATACAGAACACCGATGAAATTTAGAGTAAAGTTGCGAAGCGATGAAGAGGCGACAGGCACAGTGCATCAGACTTGGACGTCCCATTCCAAGTGCCAGGTCCTTGAGCGAATGTTCTAACTGTGAAGCCACATGCGCACGGGCCCTGGACCTGCTGCAAGTGGATAGGGTTCCGGTTCTCCTGCACGCTGACGACCCAGTTTTTGTGGCGTCCAGTCGCGGGGAGGCCACGCGCACACTGCAGGTTATTGCCTCTTGGGCACTTGATGTGAAGGTTGAGCTGCATTTGGGATCTTCCAAGACCGTGGTTCAGAAGCTTCACCCGCCTGGCTACTGCAACCGTGCTGTTGCGAGGCCTTTGTTGTTTCCCAGACGGCCTCCCTTATTCCCCGCTGCTCTCGAAGAGGTTAAGGTTCATAAGTGGCTCGGGTTGCGCTGGGCTGCGAGCGGGGACTGGATGCCACACGTGGTGCCCCTCATCGCACAGTGCTCCTACATGGTGGACATTTTGTGCTCACTCACCAGGTCCAAGAGAATACCTCTTTCTATTGCTGCAATCCTTTTTGAGCTTAAGGTTGAAGCCTCACTGCGATTTGGCAGATGGATCTGGGGTCTTGATACTGAGGCGTGCGCGGCACTTACACAGAGTTACGAGCGGTGGTCAAGACAACTGGTCGGCGCAGGAACCTGGAGAAACGCAGCCGTGTGTTACTGTGAGATCGGGTGGAGTCTTGGAGCCCTCGCCACCGTAACAGTAGATGTTGCCGCGGTGCGTGCCTCACTGTGGCAACAGGGGGAAGCCACGCTTGCAGGTAGGATGTTCCTTTCAGGGCACCAGTCGGTAGCATCTAACTGGTGCAAGCGATCTTTGGAAAACCTCTCTTCTCAGGGCATTCTTGATT